TAAAACAATAAAAAACTTTTTAGAACAATATAAAACTGATTTAAAACATTGTATTTTAAAACACTTGCCATCCTTATAATATACATTACTAATCAAAGCGGAGCTTGAACATTGGAACTCCGTCATCACAACCAAGTTTCGGGGGATAGCGATACATCGCTATGGTCATAAGCAGAAGGGCTAATAAATTCAATTTAATTTTACATTATTTATACAGTTTAGAGTACTTTTTAAAAGGACGACAACTAATCATAATGAAATAAAAAAACTGTATAGAAGGTTTCATAGTCAAAAATAAGATCTAGTTCCATAAAATTACCGATTTATATTAACTTCAATAAAGCCAAAAAAATATATATTTCATTATTTAAAAGGTGTAGTTGCGAGTTCTAGATCTCATGCACCGTATTGTAATGTTGTTTGCAATAACTTATGTCGAAAAATTGTACAACTTAAAATTCTTTAAAATAATCCAAAAATAATACATTTGAATGGATTAATGTAAATTAGCCATACTGTAAATGTCTTCCTATATCGGACGATTAGCCTTTATACTAAAATAGCAAACAGAATAAATGATTTGAGGATTTAAATTAATCGCACCGTGCATACTTCAAATATATTATATATATGTTGTAAGTGGAAGCGGAATTAAGTGGAAACGGAATTTTTATATAAACCCAGCATTTTAGGGTTGATTTATAATAAATAGAATCCACTTAATCCCATTCCCACTTACAACATATATACACGAAGATCCTCTTTTCTTCTCATCAAAACATGGACGAAATTAAAATTGATTATAGAAAAAATAATTCTGTAACAAAAGAGGAAGCTTGCTTAAAAATTATTGAAGGCTCACCTCGAAATCAACACCTTTTCCTCTCCGTAGGTGAAATATTTGTAGGAAGGAAAGATTCTAATGATATCGATATTGTTATAAAAGACCAAGAAATCGATGAGAAGCATGCAAAAATTAAAAATTACAATGGAAAAGTTGATATCTCCTGCATTGGTTCTAAATCAAAAATTTTTGTTAATCGAAAGCAGCTCAAATTTCGTACAATATATACTTTACAAAAAAATGACGAGATTAAAATAGGACGTAGTACTTTTCAATTCCTCCCTGCTGGAGAATTGAAGAATTCTATTGATCCACTTTTACAAATTTATAACAATGATTACTTGTGGAAAAGCTTGAAAACTGGATTTAGGAGTTACCAAAATATGAGTTTATTGTTATTGGCTTGTGATTTAAATTATTTTAGAAAAATCAATAAAAACTATGGCCATGAAGCTGGAGACCACGTTTTAATAGAATTATCAAAGTTAATTCAAAATAAATATGGATATAAAAATATTTTTGCTAGATATGGAAGAGAGAAATTTGCCATTCTTCTCATTAATACAAATTTAGAGTCGGCCTATGGAACTGCTAAGGAAATTCGTTCTTTAATTGAAACTACTCCATTTAATTTTAAATACCTGTCGTCAATTACGTTTAGTATTGGTGTTTCTGGAGTTAATTCTTTGACGAAAAAGCCTAAGGACTTATTGAATCATGCCGAAGAAGCTTGTAAAAAGGCCAAAGAATATGGTCGTAATCGAATAATAATATGGGAAAATGAACAAATTTCGATCCGTATGTATATATTAATTATTCAAATCTATATTTACAAATATACGTTAGTACTTAATACTTTATTTTATTTATAAACCTTTGATAGAAAATGTAAGTATGCTTTATTCTTTTATTTTTAGCATAGTTATTTTGACAATTTTTTGAAAGAAATCATAATGGCGATTTGTAACCAAAACTTCCAGGACCCTTTAAAATATTTAAAATTTTCTTTATACTCGAAATTCGCTGAAGAAGGAAATCATTGGGACCAAAATAATCTTGGAATATGCTACAAAGATGGACTAGGCACAAAGAAAGATGTGAAAAAGGCATTTGAATGGTTTAAAAAATCTGCCGAAGGAGGCAACCATTTAGGACAATGTAATCTTGGACACTGTTATCGCGATGGAATCGGCACTCAAAAAGACCAATTAGAATCATTTAAATGGTACATGAAATCTGCTGAAGATAGGAATCGTGTAGCACAAGTTATTCTAAGAAACCAGTTTCAGGGAGTATGTGATATAAACGAAGATACATTCCAATTCCTCCTTGAATCTGCTAATAATGGAAGTCATTTAGGACAAGGATTGATTGCTTTGTGTTTTCTGTTTGGAATCAGAGTAGATCAAGATAATGCAAAAGCTTTTCAATGGGCAAAGAAATCTGCACTAGGTGGAAATTCTTTAGGGCAAAATAATCTTGGACTTTGTTATCAGAACGGAATTGGTGTCGAAAAAGATGATACAAATGCATTTAATTTGTATAAAAAATCTGCGCAAGGTGGAGATGCAAATGGACAGTGCAACCTTGGGGTTTGTTATCAAACCGGAATTGGTGTCGAAAAAGATGTGCAGCAAGCATTTAATTTGTATAAAAAATCTGCGCAAGGTGGAGATATAAATGGACAGTACCACATTGGAGTTTGTTATGAAAAAGGAATTGGAGTCGAAAAAGATTATACGACAGCATTTTACTGGTACGACAAATCTGCACAAGCTGGAAATTTAAATGGACAGCACAGACTTGGATTTTGTTATCAAAACGGAATCGGAGTCAAAAAAGATGATCAGAAAGGGCTTTACTGGTACGAAAAATCTGCACATAATGGAAATATAAATAGACAGTATTTTCTTGGAGTTTGCTATCAAAACGGAATTGGGGTCAGAAAAGATATTGCGAAATCATTTCAGTGGTATAAAAAATCTGCTCGGGGTGGAAATATAAATGGACAGTATCAACTTGGTGTTTATTATCTAGGCGGAATTGGCGTCAAAACAAACATAAAAAAAGCATTCAAATGGCTTCAGAAATCTGCATATGGTGGAAATCATCAAGCACAAACGGAATTACAATTAAAATTCCAACTACCCATTCTATCTCAAATCCCACCATCACCACCATTTCCACCAAAAGAGAATAAGGTTTTGAAGATAGATAAAAAATGGGATACAATTTTGGGTGAAAAATTACCATTAATCGAACCCCAACATTATTTTATGCTTAGTAAACTTATTCCTCAACCAAAATTTTCATCTAATAAAATCTATAGAAATGTGGCAGCAGCTCTTCCATATATTCGACAAAAAATTAAAATGTGGGGTGCTTATATTCTTTTAGCAGAAAACTTTGCGAATTTAGTCAATGATGAAAATGATGAAGATGATGAATCTTCTGATGATGAATCAAAGGATGAAAGCAAAAAGTTAATAAAAAAGAATAGATTATCTAGATTTGATTGCCTTGCTACTTTATTTGCCTCTGCCGATTCCACTGTTGTTCAAAATAGTTTTCAAATTATATCTCAATTCCCAATAGCATTTCCTTTATTGATACCTGATTTAAATAACGCTGAGAAGTTTAAAGTAATGCTTCCTTTATATACCGGACCAGCTATCAAATGGCGTATAAGCGATGGATCAATTATAAAAAATCATCTTTTTGAAGATTCTTATAAAATGATTGTTGCAGTTCGGATTGGAATGAACCCTCAAGGCAAAAGCACCATACTTAATCAGTTGATGGCTTCAAAATATATGTTCACATCATCTTCTGAGCCAAGAGCCAATTATGGAATTTCGCATATGATCAATGGAAGTATTGAGTTTGTTTGGCTGACTGAAAAGACTTGTGGTCCCGATCTATGGAATAATGTTTTTAAAAGTTACTATAAAGAAGGGAGAAATGAGATTGTATTGCTTGCAAATTTACATGGTGATGCATTGGATTATCTAGATCAAATTGAATTTTTAAAGCAATTACCTTCTTGTTTCTTGGTTTTCTTAATGCCTGGACATAATGAAGATCAAAAGGTTGAGTTTAGGAACTTAATTGGTTCAAAAAAGGTTATATACATTCATGTTAATTCCGAGAGCAGTACAGATAATTACACAATTGATACAAATTCTTTGACGAGTAATGAAACAATAAAAGAAGCTTGTAAAATGTTTAAAGATGTCTTATATTCCGGTCCCGTTTATCCTGCAGATCTTGGTAAATTTTCAATTAGTACTTTAGAAATTGGGAAGACACTTCAATTTTCTGAAAAAATAGAGTGTGTTGAATCTCAGGAAATTATAAATTTTATTAAGGAAAAAACTTGTCGTCATGTTAAATTAAAGATTATGCAACTTCAAAAAAAACAAGGTGGATCTGATTGTATACAATTTTGGGAACGTACACCAGAATTGCGAGAATTAATGCAATTATTCAATTCAATTATGGTTCTACCAATTAGAATAAGAAGAAGAGCTCTGGCGCATCTTGAAAAAGAGATATCTAGGCTTTCTACATTAGAATCATCTAAATTTCGAAATGATGCTATATCAAAAAAGAAAGAATTAACTATTGCGAACATTGAAGAAATTGATAATACAAGCTTGAGAATAGAACATTTCATTCGTGAATTAGGACAAATGTATAAAATATTTATTTCTGATCCAAACAAAATTACTTCTGATAATGGTCTAACTAAAGAAAATATTTCGAAATTACCAGAATATTATGCAGAGCTATTAATTAGTGGTCACACTATAGAATTGGTTGATGGTGATTCTGTAACTATATCTGAAGCATGGTTCTTAGCCGTCTGTAATTATATTAATAGAAAATTCCCCAAACTTAGGATTTTTGTAATCAGTATACTTGGATTACAATCTTCTGGAAAGTCCACTCTTTTAAATACACTTTTTGCAAGTAAATTTGATGTCTCTGCTGGACGCTGTACTAAGGGAATTTTTATGCAATTCTTATTTTTGGAGAAGGACTTATCTAATCAACTTGATGTTGATGCTTTTATTTTGATTGACACTGAAGGACTTGGTACATCTGGAAAAATGGGAGAACTAGAAACCAAACTAAAGGATCAAATAATAGCAACTTTTGTAATGCGAATAAGCCATTTGACGATTATTAGCATACTTGGAGAGTCAGAGTTAAATAAAATCTTGAAGATAACTATTGGGACAATGACACGTCTTGACATGTTCCCTGACATACTTATGGTGCAACATGTTGAAGAAAAAAATATGACAAAGTTAATAGATTTAGAACATGAATTTCATGCAATTCTTCAAGAAGTTTTAGAAACAGTTAAAAAAAAAGATAGTAAGATAAGAGCACGTAACTTTGAATATATAAGTAAGGCAAAGGATAAAAAGCTTCTCAAATTATTTGCGCCATTTAAAGATGGTATAACTTCTTATTCTTCACCATCGAAGGAATATCATGATGATGTTGTTGATTTATACAATTCTATTATTGAACTCTGTAATAATTCACAAAATAAAAAAAGATTTTTTGATTGGTTTTCACTAATTAAAAGTTATTGGGAAGCAGCATCACGCGAAAGTTCTTCAAGCATCTCTTTCGAAGAAATTGAAGAAATATACGATTTTATTAAGTTCGGGAATCAAATTGCAAATTTGAAAGGATTTATCGACATGGCATTTTTAAAACATAAGGAATTGATCGAAAATGAAATTCGATCAATTGTTTATGAATGGCTTTCAAATAAAGATTCAAACGTAAATTCAATTAATACAAAATGTGAAGAATTGATTAAAAAGTTACACAACATTCTAGAGCTTGAAAATTTTGTAGATTGTGAAGAGTGTAAAAAAGTAAATGAAGAGAGAGATAAATTAGATAAATATCTTGAAAAAAAGAATGATGAGAAGTGT